GACCACAATTTATTACCAATTCTGTAGAAGTCCATCTCCGTTTGCTACAACTAACCACAAAGTACAGAGCACGGTGGCCTACAAAATTCCTGTCAATGACTGACTATGAGTTAAGGAAAATAATGCAATTCCCACATGTGATAAGTTTGATTTCATTGGTTAAGTTTTAAATAAACAAAGCCAACTTTATACTTTACTGAGCTGTGCGTAACTGTCCCGCTTGGGGGTGTCTCTCTTATCTTAGGGTCACCATTAACTGCACATCATGGAAAAGGAAACAGCAGATTTCATCAACATTGTAATGTCTATGCTTTTGAAAGTAGTAACTGCAAATAGAAAAATCTGTGCTATGACGCTAAATACCTAAATAAATCAGATATTTGGGTCGAGTAGCTTGACTCAGAATATAGACAGAAAAATACATGTTAATATAAAATATAGAAAAAGAAGTCTGAATGTTCAGATTCTTTGGATCCTGAAGGTAACTAATAATCCCAAAGCAATGAAAGTGTTGCTTTATTAGCTCATCTTATCATTTATGTCATTGTATAGTTCTGTATCAAAAAAATATCTAATTACTTTAATTTATTTAAGCTGAACCCATGAAGCTATGAGTATCTCTACTGTTTCATTTCCTGTGATGCAAAACTCTTAAAATGTTCTTTTTTATGTTTTATATGTTTATGTATTTATGATTATATTTTTATGTTTTACAAGTCTTTTTTTTTTAAAGATTTATTTTTATTATTTTTTCATTGGAAAGGCGGATATACAGAGAGGAGAGACAGAGAGGAAGATCTTCCGTCCGATGATTCACTCCCCAAGTGAGCGCAACGGCCAATACTATGCCGATCCGAAGCCAGGAGCCTCTTCCGGGTCTCCCACGCGGGTGCAGGGTCCCAAAGCTTTGGGCCGTCCTCGACTGCTTTCCCGGGCCACAGGCAGGGAGCTGGAAGGGAAGCGGGGCTGCCGGGGATAGAACGGCGCCCATATGAGATCCCGGGTGTGCAAGGCGAGGACTTAACCACTTGCGCCACCACGCCGGGCCCAATGTTTTACAAGTCTTAAATGACAAAGATGAAATAAAGTTCAATTTGTATGTTTTAGAAAAAAAAGTTAAATAAAAAGTAGAGTGGCAGAAGAAGAGAAAAATCTTCCATCCACTGATTCTCTAACAAAATATCTACAACAGTGAGGCTAACCCAAGTTGAAGCCATGAACCTATAATTCAATCCTGGTCTCTTACATGGATATCAAGAGCCCAAGTACTTGGACTATAGTCTGCTGCCTTCCCATGTGCATAAATGGAGAGCTCCATCAGGAGTAGAGGACTTAACCCAGTGTTCTGATATGGGATGTTGGCACTGCAGTTGACACCCTAATTTCAGCCCCTGTTTTTTTTATTATTAAGATGGTTGAGTTTCTTACATAGCTTGGATATTAACCCTTTCTTAGAAGGGCGGTTTGCAAATTTTTCCTCCAACTGTGTGTGTTGTCTCTTGGTTGTTTCCTTGGCCTTGTGATAGCTATTAAATTCGATATAATCCTTTTTGCCCTTTCACTATTTTGGGGACTATATACTTTAGAGTCATATCCAAGATAATCATAGCCCAAATCAATGTCATATCTGTGTTTTCCTGTACTTGATTTTATAGTTTCAAGTCTTATGTTCCCACCTTCAATTCACTTTGAGTTGATTTTTATGTGTAGTGTGAGTTAAAAGCCTGATTTCATTTTTCTACATGCTACCCTTTAATCCAATACCATTTATTGAAGAGACTGTCTCTTCCCCACTGTGTGTTCTTGGTAATTTTATCAAGAGCCAATTGACCATAAAAGTCTGGATTTGTTTCTGAGCTCTCTCTTCTGTCCCATTGGTCTGTCTGTGTTTATGCCAGTAATATACAGCTGTGATTACCACACACTTACAGTACATCTTAACAATTGGTGTGATGCCTTCACCTTGTGCTTTTTTTTTTATTCATGATTGCTTTAGCTACTTTGAGTCTTTTGTGGTGTCACATGAATTTTAATATTTTTTCTTATTTCTGTGAAAAATTTGCTTGAGTTTTTATAAGGGTTGCATTGAATCTGTAGATCACTTTTGATAGCATGAAAACTCTTTTTATTACTGTCATGTTTTTCAATCCATGAAGACAAGATCTCTTTCCTTTGTCTTCAGTTTTTTCATCAATGTTTTACAAGATTTAGTATGTAAGTCTCCCACATCCTTGGTTGAATTTGTTCTTAAATGATTTATACTTTTATAGCTATCATGAATGAGAGCATGTTCTTGGTTTCTTTATGAGATAGCTCATAGTTAGTGTCACCTAAGTCCCTGATTTTTATGTGCTGATTGCATATCTTCCAACTTTATTGAACTCATTTTTTGTTTATAACATATTTTAAAGTTTAAAAACAATAAAACTAATTGTAAAAGCCTGTGCAATAAAGAAACAATAGAAAAATATGTATATATATCCTCTCTTTTTTTCTGGAGTGATCTTGTAGACAGAAAAGATGCCCTAACATTTTACTGTTCTCTTTCCATTTCTGGAAAGAAGGTGGCATGGGAGGGAGGCCCATCCAAAAATTAATATATGGCAAGTTAAAGATAACAGTAGTTCTAAAACTAGGTACTTTGCAGAAAAGAACCCTAGGGTGGATGATTTTTTTTTTATTTAGCAAAATCCCTAAATAGGGCTTTTTGATTTAGAAACAGGAAGTACCACAACCTTTGAAAGTCTACTTCCATCACATGCATGTAGTCAGTCTAGAGGGAAATAGCTAAGGGAAAAAAAAGTTAAACTTCTTTTAAGGTTAACTAACAGGATTTGGAGCTATTGAAGGATAACCTGGAAAGGAAATGAGCCACAGTGGTTTCTGGGAAAGCAAGAAGGGCCAAGAAGCATCTGGAAGAAGGGATGTGTCCCCCACCACATGGAATCTGATAGAGTGAGACAATATCTAAAGAAAACACAGACTTTGGGGATAATGATGAACAAAACATAGTAGAAATTGCAAAGGTGAGATACTTTTTCCAGAACTTTTGTGAAACACAGACATTGAAGAGTTGAAGCACCTGCTTGAAAAAGGATGTGAGATAATGATAGAGATTTTTTAAAAGCTGCGATATTGTTGCATATTTGAATGCTGACTTAAGTGGTCTAATAGAAAAGGAATATGATAATGGAGGATCACTAACTGACAGGCAGAATCCTTAAGTGGGGAAGGGAAGATGAGGCCCAGTGCATGAAGAGACAGTTTGTTCTTGGATGGGATCACAAGGTTCATCCATCCTAAGGAGACAGAGGTCATATTCCTTGATACAGACAATTGTAAGATGACAGACTTGGTAGGGTAAGGACAAAAAGATGCTTTTTCTGTATTCTTAGTGAAATAATTAGCAAGGGTGTCATGAGCTGAGAGTGGGAAGGAGGACAGCTTCAAGAGGGCTGAAAGGGGAAATGGTCCCTTTGGAGAGTAGGGAAGAGAACTAAGGAAATAGGGCGGGGTCACCAGCCAGAGCTGAAGACCAGTGTAAGCTTCACGTTGGTGAGCTCAAAGTGGGCACTGAAAGCGTGATTGTGAGAGGCCTATTTTTCCCCCCAGAAACATTGAGCTGCTCTGGTGCAGGCATAAGGGAGGCAGACAGAGCCTGGGATGAGTGTGGTCAGCAGGTACTACAGGAAAAGAGAAGTGGAGTTTAGGAGAGATGCAGAGAACAAGGCCGATGATGGTCCCAGAATGTTAGTTGGTAAGGGAAAGGGGGTTTTGGCATTATGTAAGGCAAGTATCATTTGAGTTCATTTCTGTGGCCTGGAAGTTCATGTGTAGGAGCTGAGACAATAATGCTTCTCAATCTTCGGGATATTCAAGAGTTACCTGGGAATGTTGTTCTACAGGTCGATGCCTGAGTTAGCCACAGGGATTCTGGAAAACAGCGCTTTTTTTCCTTTTTTCTTTTTGTAATAAGGTCACGGGTAATTCTGATGTGAGTCTGTGCGGCAGTCTGTAAAACCACTGCACTGCCAACGATTCAGGTAGAAATATCTGAGAAGCAGGTGAAGTGGAGGAGAGCAGAGTTACTCAGTCGATTACTTACGCTTCTACACTTGCCATGTCTCAGCCTTGGAATGATGCTCATGTTTAGACGTTAGAGGATTGGTTTTTTTTCCCATTTTTTTCATTTTATCAGAAAGGAAGGCAGAGAAAGAAGGAAAGAGAGAATCTTCTATCTGCTGATTCATTCTCCAAATACCCAAGCAAAGCCAGGAGCCCAGAACTCAATCTGGTTCTCGCACTTGAATAGCAAGGACCCAAATATTTGAACTATCAGCTGTTGCCTCCCAGAGTCACATCAGCACGAAGCTGAATTTGAAGTGGAGCTGAGGCTTGAACTTAGGCATTCTGATATAGGATATGGGTATCCCAACCAACATCTGAACCATTACACCAATGCCCACCTCAAAATACTTGCATTCCTTAACTAGATAATGTAACTGGAAATGGAGTATTGAAGGAGTTCAGGAAACACCATCCCAAACCACATCACTTACATATGCTACTTGCTTCTAGTTGAGGGAGCCATCAGTCAGGGGAGGGGCTTTCTGTACTTCCCTCATCTACCTAAAGACAAAAGCTCTAAAAAGAATCATGGTCATGAATCTCCTCCCCTGCGTCAGCAGGGAAGGCAGCAGCACAGCTAGACCAACTTGAGTGCAGGCTATTGTGTGTCTCCTGGGCACCCATTCATCTTCCTCTACATTTGCTTCCTCTTCCTGAAGTTGCCTGCATGCCTGTCCCCTGCCCCGTCCAGATCTCGCTCAGGTGCAGGGGCCTTGCTTTTCTTTATGTGATGCTTGTTAGCATTTATGCCTTTTCTCCTGATCATCTGCCTACTGTCCGTTTATTACATAGACTCAGTTATCAAAGTCTCAGAGAGAAAGTGGGGGCATCTCACTGCTCTACAAAATGATTCAGAGTAATGCTGCAATGGCTGAGGCAAGACACCCAGTAACTTTATTTTCTACTTTCCATTAGGTTCTTTAGATGACCACAGATACTAGTATGCCATTTAATGTTGTAAAGCATCCTCGCATGGCTTCACTTCTGATGCATCGGTTTTCCAGAAAGCGTAAGACTTGTGTTCTGTTGGGGGGAGAAAGGAGAAACATCCGAGAGAAACAGTCACATCTTGAATTTGTTAAACAACAAAACCAAATCAAATACATACCACCAATGTGTAGAAAATTAATGAAACAGGACTATAACTCTGTAGTGTGAGGTTAAAGTAACAGACAAAAACATCCAGGAAATGATAATATATTCATATCCAAGAGAGAAAACAAATGGCTTTATATAAATCCAACAGTGAATATTCAAAGAAAAACCCTACGTCAGCTCTTTGGTTGTTTGCCAATAAGCTTCACCTGTCTGAAGCGAGCAGGGGAGAAGTGCATCAACACGGCTCTGCTCTTCGTGGTCATTGCCCTCACCTAGCGTTTTTCCTGCTAATTTGTACTAGGTATATTGTATGTTACTTCTGTGTTGAACGTCTCACCAAAGCCCTGCTGCATTTTGAGTAATAACAATTTACTCCATGCATTTCAATTTCTGTGGCTCAAATGATCATGTCATTGCTTGAGAATTTACTTCCATGTCATATATAATATTTGCAATATTGCCATAATCAAACAAATGCTAGGAGGTGAATATTGCTACTCAGCTATCATTCCCTTCTCTTCTTCCAGCTGGATTCTCAGGCCCCTCATCTCCTGCTCCTATCTGCTCTCCATTGTCTTCTCCCAGCTGTTGATACAGTGTTGGCAATGTGCCAAGCCTTCTGTCTCTGGCTGATTCTCCCTTTGTAGCCACAAAGATATTTAAATCCTAAAATCAAAAAGCTCAAAATGCTAGGAACTCAGGCCCAGTGCAATGGTTCAATTGGCTAATCTTCCTCTCTCAAGCATCAGAATGCCATAAGGGCAATTGTTCATGACCCAGGTGCTCTACTTCCCATTCAGCTCTCTGCTTATGGCCTGGGAAAGCAGCAAAGCATGGCTCAACGTCTTGGGATCCTGCACACCCACATGGGAGACAAAAAGCTCTGGCCATTGCAGTCTCTTGGGAAGTGAGCCAGTGGGTGGAAAATCTTTCTGTTTCTCCCTCTCTCTCTGTAAATCTTCCTTTCCAATAAGTAAGTAAGTAAGTAAGTAAATAAATAAATAAATAAATGTTAGCAACTCTAAATGCTAAGCATTTTGCATTTCTTTTTCTCATGCAAGCATGATGCCATTTTCCTTCAAATACTTTGCTCTACTGAAATCTTTCAAACTCTGGGACTTGCTGAGAGATGGAAAAAATGTTGAGAGATCCATAGATTAATGACATTGACACGTTTTCCTTTGTAGTTTGTGGAGAGTGCTTCATAGGGAACCCGTTGTAGTAGGTAACTTCATTACCCAATAGTTGATTAAATATTATTAGCCAAGCTTAACTGTGAAAGTATACCAGGTGGTATAACTGACACCAGTATTCATTGAGTGAAACCACAACCCTGAGTTTTAAGGAACAAATTAGGAATGAAAATGCTTGCAAGTGGAAACACAATAAGCTGGTCACTGCTTCACTGTCTATTTTCTCTCCATAACTCATCTTTTCAAAAAATCTGTTGGCTAAATTGATATGGTGTCCTACAATCATTGTAAAACAAAACTTCTGTTTATGGACAGGGGAGCACGGAAGCTGTAGCTAAAATTCCCATCTAGACTTACCCTTGAAGCATTTGGGAATTTCAATGTTGCCATCATTGCATTGAGCATCCACTGTGTAACTACATTTCTTTTCCTTATTTTTGCAATAGAAAGAAATTGTCTGACCATGTAACAATCCATTTTTGAATTTGTCTTGGATCTTAACTCTTTCTCCTTGGAATATCACAGTGGCTTTTTTAACAGATAATTCACAAGATGCTGAAAGAGACAATATTTATAGGCAAGAAGCCTTAAGGATTCAAGTAAGTCTGTCTTAAAGGAAATATAGCATTTGAACCAGCAGATGAGTACAATGCAACAAACGAGTCAGAACAACCTGATTCTAAGAATGTACATATGTGAGTAAGGCTAACCCAATTATGAGCGGCAGTGTTCTATCTAAAGAACTATTACTCATGGCTTCTAAAATGGCTTTTTTTTAAAAAAAAAAGTGCTGCAGTAGTTTTATAAAGTCAGGGCAGAACCCCATCAGATTGTCAGTTTGAATGAGAAAGTAATCCTACTAGATACTATGATTTCATATAAGCCTGTGCTGATCTACCTAGATTTCATTTGTTAAGCTGGTGCACCTTTTGATTAGGCACATTGAGTGTTGACTACTAGTAGTTCAGAAATGGCTTTTTTTTGCATTCAGCTATAGGGAGCCACCTTTCTCCATTAATATGCAAAGCACCCCCCAACACTCTCAGCATTGGGGAAAGGAATAACTATAGCCAAGCACTGGCTATAACGCACATCCTTTTACCCCTTGAGGCAAATAACTCTGGGGGTGAATTCATGCTCCAGAGCTCCCTGCAGGGTCAAATTGAAGCCAGACTCTAGCTAGTCCACCTTACTTGTTTTAACGCAGTCCCTAGATCAGCTGTATCAACATCTCCTGGGAACTCAGTAGAAACACAAATTCTTAGATCCCATCCAAGCTGTACTGAATCAGAAGCTCTGGGGGTGAATCGCAGAAATTTGTGTTGAATCAAGCTCTTGATTCTTGGGGGTGACTCTGATCCACAGTGAAATCTGAGGATGGTTGTCCTGACTTATCCTTTTGTCCTTGCTATCTTTATTCTGAGATATTTGATCAATCAAACTGCTTTTGAAACTCTGTCTTGAGCTCTCTTTCTAGGGGACACCACTAAAGACACAATCATTCATCATTTTGCCTGCTGTGCATCAGTTTTTCTTTTTGCTTCAGCTGTCCAGCCCTCAGCTTCAACTGTCCAACTCAATGTTGGATTGTTGTTGCTTATGAAAACATGACGCCAACTAGATCAGCATCTCAGATCTCAGAGAGAAGCCAGTTGATGATCATTCCTTTAACTGATAGAACCTAAGTAAAATCCAGCCATGCTCTAGCTGACTAAACAGACAGACACCAAGATGGGAGAGGCCATTGGGATATGGAAACATCTAACTTTTAGTTCCAACACTCAGGGGTCCAGTTGCATTCCATTTCTTCATCATCAATGTTCTGGTGATTACACATTCACTTTCTATGACAACCTCCGATCTTCCTTGAATTGGCTTGAATATGTTGATGATTTTTACATTAAGTCTTGAACAGCCGGAGCAAAAGAAAGATGTTCACAGGCCAAGATAAAAGCTATAGAAACCCTACATGCTATCTCAGCATATTGTTGATGCTTGCAAAGGATCTGCTTATTTCATAGTTTTATCCTGAGCAAGCTTCCTAAGCATGAGATCGCTATGACTAGGTGAATCCTAAACTCTTACTAACACCAATGGCTGTGTAGCAAGTCAAATAACAAACGGAAAATGACTACAGCAAGAAAATGGTAAGTAAAACTAATCAACTGGATAACTTCAGAGAACTTTTAGAGCCTCACCCATTTCCATACCTTTACAATTTGGCTGTGCAGACCAGTTTCCAAGTTTGGTGCATTCTACTTCTTCTGGGCCATCCAGAGTAAATTTGTCATGGCAACCATATGTCGCTTTATCTTTGTAATGAAGCACTGGTTTTGCAGGGTAATTCACAAAGCCGTTGTCTGGTCTTGTTGGGAATGGACATTTTACTTCTAAAAAAAAGGTTGATTAATAATATATATTATTAATAATCACCAGGGTTATCCAATGTTGGTCCAGTTGTGGAATGGTTATATTTTGCTTCCAATAAACAATTAGATCATTGAATGTTCATGTGACTGGAATATAACTTGGGATTACCTTGTACTTCATTTTTTCTGCTCTCTCTTCTAAGTATGAAACCCTGGGTTGTTTTTTTTTTTTAGGAAACAAAAACACCTTGAAAATAAATAATAAAAACCTACCAAGTTCTCAGTGATGCTTGAAACCAAAACACAAGGACTTCACCCTCCATTCACATTTAGTATATCATTATTTTATTTTGAAACATTAAGCCTGGTTGTAAATATCATCGATAGACTGTGTAAGCATTCAGAGTGAAATGTGCCTGAGAAAACTGTGTTACTTCCTGGACTCCTGAAGCTCCTTAATGAGGAATCCACAAGATCATATCCTTCTCCACCACGGCACAGGAAAGCAAGGGCAGAGTCAGGAGGGAAGTGCTCTTGGGAGCTCATTCTATGAGACTGCTAAGAGGACCAACTCCAGAGCTTAACTCAATTTTGGTTCTGTCATACACTGAATTTTTAAAAGGATCTATAGGTTTGTGAAATCATTGCAAAGATGTTGGGTGGAGCCACAGCTCTTCTCCCTGTAAGAAGTCTAATGAATAAATGTGGAAGAAAAATGTAGAATTAGACATTGCCATTTCGTAGTTGATAGAGTCAAGAATCATCAACAGATTTTAAAATGACTACTGAAGACTGATTACCTACTGAGTCTCAAAGAATCACCCCAACATTTCTTGCTAATTCTAAAAATGAAAGTGTCTTTACCGAAAGACAGCCTAGTATATCTCATCATTGGTATGACCAATGATATTTCGACAAAGCACACAAGGATCTCCAAGCTCTTTGAAATGTATTTTTAACAGAAGTGTTTTACTTGAACCAAATCATGAGTACAAAACTAACCAAGCAGAACATGGGACATTCTATAACACAATTAGCCTGTATGCTCTCAATGAAAGGCTATAAGGGGTAAAGCATCGTTTGTTCCTAATTAAAGCAGGCCAAAACAACACAGCAATTGAATAGAAAGTGTGGTGCTTGATTAGATTCTGTATGGAACAACAACAATAAATACAAATGGCATTTCACGATCAACTTTATAAAAATGAAACTGTAACAAATTTTGTACGATACCATTGTGCATTTTTATATTATAGCAATGAGGGGCTTGGAGGAGCGCTACTGAGAATCTGACAGCCAGGCGATGAATCTTGGGAGTCCTTGGAAAACAACTGTAGCCAAACATTTCTAGGATTGTCTGTTCTTTAAGGTTGTTTTAGAGAGATGAGTAGAATGCATGTAAGGAAAGCTTACAATCGATTTTTGCTTTGGACTCCGGATCCTTGGTGCCTTGTTTTTTTTCTACATAACAGTGTTCCTACATCCCAAGTCCTCAGATCCAAAGAGATCCTCAATACTTATTTAAATTATTGTTAGTAACTTAAAACAAGTGAAATGGCTTGGGTACAGTGAGAATGTAGAATGCCCTTGTTTTTAGGACATTCGTGCTGAAATATTTCTGGATAATACGATGTTATTATATATACATATGTGTATATATGTATGTATTATATATGCATATATATGCATATGCATATATATAACTTATTTTCAGTAGAGACAGGAAAACCAGGCTTAGAATAGTAAGAAACAGAAGAGAGTGATAACTCTCCATGTTAACGGTCGATACAAATAGGTAAAAAATTGAAAAAAAGAAAAGAAACTACTGCTTCAGATTTGGGAGAATCTGCACAGATGACACTCACATAGCGGGATACCAGCACTTGACCTGTAGTTAAGGATCCAAAAAGGTACCATGTGTGATGGATGGCTCCCCCATTATAGAATTCATTTATGTTTTGAAGCCTTTCTTAGATTTATGAAATATCCACCCCTGGAAAACTGAATGGCCTTGGAACAACTTCTGTGCACATGTTAACTCTGTAATTTGTCTATTTGCTATTCTACCAGCAAAATTTGCCAATGGTAATGGCAAGTCAGGTTAAAAAAAGAGGCATTTTTATGATTTTTAAATTAAATATTTCTGTGATCCTTGAATTCAGGAAATTATAGTAAGGCCTTGTAACAATGCGATTCCAACCCAGTTTTGCATCTTTGTCTCCTGGGACCCCCAGGGTCATGCAGGCTTCCGTTCTTCGACTGCACAGAGACAGTCAGCTGTCCCTCAGGACAACAGCTTTTCATGTCTTCCCAACCTTGAGTCTGTTGCACCGTGAGACGTGCCTTTCCTTCTTCCATACTCCTCCTCCAAGCCAAGTCCCAGGGAAACTTCCTCTGGGAGCTTTCTCAAGTGGCTCAAGGTAGTTTAGCTTACTGCATGTCAGAAGCCAGATTTCAGTCATCGGATAGCCCCTGTTCCTAGAACACCGCCTAGCATATAATAGATGCTCAATAATCATTTGCCAAGATTTCGTGATCATGGAATTTTAAACATTTTTCAAAAATGCGATTCTGCACTACCGTAATTAGCTTGTCTTGATACTTACCTCTGCATGTTGGTAATTCAGTCCAGTTTCTATGCGTTGTGCAGGTAACTGTATCATTTCCAAACATTGCGTAGTGTGGCAAACATTCGAAGACTGCTGTGTCCCCAAAGAAGGAGTTATTCCCAGCTGATGGCTTGTAGAGTTTAAGGACTGCAAGCTTGGGTACGGGTGGCGGAGGGCAGGTCACGGCTGGAAAAAGAAAGGACTATGGTTTTATGGAAAAAGATGAGGCTTTTAAATATATTGATATTCCTTCCAGAAAAAAAAAACAGACACAAAGATGGATTTGAGAAAATGCAAAGTTCAATAAAACAGAGAGGAAAAACAGTCAATTGTAGATGCCAAATGAAAAACTATGATGATAATGCCCAAATCAGATGCCTGAATGAATCAGAAAACTAAGACATGAAGTAAACGCAAGCGTGGCCTCACTGATCTGCCTTTCACAACAACACAACGGTAGGTTTCCACAAAATCCACAAACCAAAAGCTGCCGAAGAGGCTCCTGGAGTGCCAGGATTTGCTCAGGGGCCATCCTGCTGTCATGGCTGGGACAGCAGCTTGTGCATAGATGTTGATGACGTCTGAATTCCAATGCCAATTCTGTTTGTTTCCATTGAACAGCCTCTTTCTCTCTACTCTAGCTGGGATTCGAACCAATGGCTACAAGGACCTAGGAGCACACTAGTGAGTGATTCCTCACCTTTATCTAATACAGAGTTTCAACAAGTCCAGAAAAGGAGAAGACCTTAGCCACTAAAAATAGACTTCTTGGGTCAGTAGCACCAGCATTGCCTAAGAGCTTTAACATTTTAGCAAGTTGCACAGTTCTGAGTCCTATATGTATGAAAGCATATGGGACCCCACTGAGGTGCAGTTGGTTAAATCCCTTGTAATACTAACATCGTATATCAGAATGCTGACTGCAGTCCCAGCTGTTCCACTCTCAAGCTTACTGCTAGCACACCTGGGAAGGCAGAAAATGATGGCCCAGATGTTCGGGTTTCTGTCACTTACATGAGAGATCAGGTTGCAGTTCCAGGCTCCTGGCTTTGGCCTGGCTCAGACTTGGCTATTGCAGCCATTTGGGGGTTAAATGAGCAGATGGAAGATCTCTCGCTCTCTCTTTCTCTCTCTCTCTCTCTCTCACACACACACTTTGCATTTCAAAGAAATAAATAAGTAAAACCTTTTTTTTTTTTTAAAAAAAAAGGGAAAGAGTGATAGCCACTCATTCTCATCAGGTTGAAGCTAAAGTGGCCTTTCTGCTTGTGAGTAAAAAGACATACAAGTTATTTCCAAAATGGATGTAAAGCTGTTTTTTTTAAAGGGAAGTTATTTTCAGGAACCATCATGGTCCCTACTTCTAAGTGAAAGGAATCTACTTAATTTACTCTTTAAAACATCTTCTGCTGCTTTATTTTTCTCAAATTACAATTTATTTGGAATTACCTTCTTTTTCCACTTGCTTCCATCGAAACAGATCATTAAATAATCACGATTCTCGTTGCAAGGCCTGGGTCTCCTGACTAAAGCGTGCACATGGAGGGGCCTGGGCTTTGTCTCAGTGTTTACAGTACTGAGCGAGATGCTTGCATTCAAAATCAAAAGTGCCTGGACCTGAGCTCTGCCTCCATGCTTGGTTAGTTTCCTGCTAATATGCGCCCTTGGAAACAGAAAATAATGGCTTAAAAAGAAGCTGGGTCACTGTCACCCATATTGGAGATCTGGATTGAGCTTCCAGTACTGGCTTTGGCCTAGCCCAAAGACTAGCCCAACTAGCCCAACTTGCCCAACTAGTCCAACTAGTGCAAGAATGGTTTTGCAGTTATGTGGAGAGTGAACGCTCTCACTTAGTCTCTTTCAAATAAATAGATTAAATGGAAATAATTAAAGCAAAAATAGGGGACTTACATAAGGCGCAATTTAGAGCATCTAATAACATCTCTCCTTATTCAAGTGAAGTCCAGAGCTGACCCTGAATGTGTCAGCATCTTTAGAGGAATCTCAGTCACCTTGTAGGATGCAAGTCTTGCGATGGTCTCTCAACCCATGGTGAAGATTTTTTTCTCCGTCTCCCTAATCACTAGACTAACTCCCTTCGAGCAGAGCTGTCTGCTTTGTCCTGAAAGCCTCAATTCAGAGTTATTGACCATGTGAGTGACTGAATGAATGAATGAGGTTTCAGAACAGGAGGAAACGCAATCGAGAGTTTATAGATTCTCTCCTGGTCAGACAGCAGAAGTTCCTGATAAATCACGCATATGCAAGCCACTACTGAAACACTGCTGGGGCTTTAGAGTGAATCAGCCCAGCCCTCACTGACTTCATCGGGTCCAGGACACAAAATGTGCTCAGGAGCGAAGGTCTCACTTGTTTCTTTCTAAAGTGGCTGCTTCATCCTTTAAAGCAGGATGATGATCATTCCCCATCAGGGAAACCAACCAGCTCATTGAGGCCGGGCTGAGTGGTTTGCAGAAAAGGTGGCATTTTCAGTTCTAAAGCCAGGAATCTCAGGGGAAATCAACTAGTCACTCTACCCATTACTGGGACCCAAAGACTCACGAGCACAGACAGGAAGTGACGGACTCCATTTTCCTTCCTCAGTGCATTGAGAAGAACTGGTTCCATTCAAATAAAACCTACAAAGGAAAAGTTTAGTCTACTGAACAGTAAAATAATATATCTTTGGCATCTCAAATACCTTCCCTGTTGCATATTCATACTCCTAACTTCTTCCTTGTTTTGTCATGCTGTTTCCTCAAGAATTGTTAACACTTGTCTAGGATTCACTGGGTCTCCCAGCCTGCGTGGCAGGTGTGTCACAAGACCATTCCAGAGCCTGTGAGTCTGACCACCAAGTCTTATTTCCAACCGCTGGGCCAAGTTAGCAACTTCTTATATAGAGTTAATAACAATGACAATATACCATAATTACAGATAGGTCATATAACTGACTATTTTCTGCTATTCATTATTTCAAAACAAACAATGAAAATGCAACATGCTGTCCTTGAAGCCAGTGTTGTTTAAGGTCATTTGTCATCAAACCTACCTGCAAATCGGTGTTTCAGAAACAACAACTGTTTCTTATTTGTAAATAGTGGCTCTTAATCCTTAATCCTAAGCAAGCATTCACAGTAAAAGTTTGTCTTAATGTGCAACCAGTATGCCATCAACAGAGCCGGTGCCTTCTTGTCCATAAGCAAATGAGCTGCATACACAACCACAAATGCTTTCTTCCTGGGGAAATTGCTTTGCGTTATAGGAAGATGAAGAGAAGGATGCTTGACATCACCATGCTCCCAACTTTCCCCGTTAAACTCTTTCCTACCTACCACCAGGCCGTTCAATCCAAGTAGCTTCATGTCGAAAGCCCAAGACTCATTCCTAAAGTGTTTTAACTTAACCCTAAGATTTAGCCCAAAATTTGCAAAGATTCAATCATTCCAATGTACCTCAGCAGATGCATAATTAGAAAAAAAATTGAAGTGATGACTTCAAATTTTATTCATAATGTTAAGTTCTCCACTGCTTATCCCATCTTTAGCACCACTATAGTTTTTACCAAAACTAAGACTATAATTGGTGTGTATTTGGCAAGTACATACTAAAGGCTAGAGATAAAATATTGATCACTCTTGATATTTTGCTTAAGGGCACACAAATGTGTTGTGCTAGCTAGTCATATAAAAGTCCTTACCCAGGGTTACAGGAAAAGCTGATGGTGTTGGGGTATTCGAAAGTTGTATAACGTACAACTCCATTTGCCAATATTCCAGCAAAAGGACATACTCTCGCTGCAATTTAAAGATAAAAGGGTAAGCTTCTATTCATATAGTTAACACTAAAACAAAAATATGCCATTTTCATCTTTTGATCTACTAGGAATCATTGTAAGTCAACTACTCAAAGACAAATGATAGAAACACCATGGTGTTCATTATTTTGTTACTGATAACACCAACATTTGGACAGCCTGAATTTTTAAAGAAGTGTTTCAACTAATGTGAATGTTTCAATGAAAGCGAATCAATAGTTGAACTGTTAGGTAGCCAATAAAATATGAAAGGTTAAAAAGCACAGACATAATCAAATTTTATGACATGCTACTGAAAAGAGAAAAACACTAAGTCATACAAACTCTCAGCAAGGTACCAAAAACATACATGGTGCAATTATTTGAAAAGTGAAACTATTAATAATAATTCTTCCTAATCATTGGGATGCTCATTAAAATTGTATCTACTCACACTAAGATCACTTATAAGAGTATGTAGAATTATGAAAAAGTCATGCCTATAAAATTATGAAAAAGTCATGCCTCTATAATTAAAACAAGCAGAGCTCAGATAGGTCATACAGCTACTCTTGCAGTTTAACTTCTAGATATAATTGCAAGAAATTCAACTTGGTTGGTCATTCACCATTTGACTATAAAATACAATGCTAGCATGAGTTCGTAGAATCATGTTCTAAAAGCAAGAAGGCAATAATGAGACATGTAAATAATTATGCTATTAATTTGATGTGTTTATATTTTATTATAAACACAATTTATGACGTACTCAATTCAGCTGATTTTTATATTCATTTCAGTAATGATTAGCCCTGTTTTCATTTTAAGGCAAATCCAAAAGGTCGTGAATACAGTGCAGGTTGCTTTGGCAGGTGTTCTTGAGCATCAGTGTGTGTTTCAGAGCATCTCCATCCGCCTTCACTTCTGCAGCGTCCCCTCTCTTTGAGCAGACCAGGCATCTCTTCCAAACCTCCTGGAATTTCAGACTACACCCTCTTACTCTTCGCTAAGCACCAACTATGGCATTTTATCTCTTTTTCCACGGAAAACCTTCCAGAATCTCTTGTTTTCCCACAGCCCTTTGTTTCTGCAGTCTATATTACCCCTCTCCACCCTGAGTGTGATGTCATAGGTTATCCTTTCCCTCTAAGCCTCCCTATACACAAGAAAATCCAGAATCCATGCAAAGTGAGAGAATGCTGACTTACGCACGCATCTCATGGTTGTCACCGTCCATACCCCCACGTTAAGACAGGTAATTGGGGTTATTAATCCCCGGGACACATAGCCTGGCTTGCAGATGTATTTTATCTGTTCCCCAGGCTCATAGGATGTTTTCAAGGGAGAGACTGTGGAAAAGGGTACATCATCTGGTTTGGGACAGGCTGAAATACAAAGCACAAAGCACATGGTTAAGAAACCTATATTCACTTTATCAAGTTCAGCTAGCACATGTGTACTAATGAAAACACAGGTGTTCTTCAAAACCATTGTGGAAATACAGAATTCTGAATGATTATTTTGATACAAAAATAACTTTGGTGCAAAAAATTGATATATGAAAAATATATATTAAGAACAATGTATGAATTTTAATTTTACACAAAAATAAGCTCATATATTTAGTTTCATATTTATGAACTTTTTAAAAGTATTCTTGTACACATACCAAGTTCCATAACTAATAATTCCTTTACAGTATCTCATCTAGGGCCCGGCTTGATGGCTCAGTGTTTAAATTTGGGATCCCATGTGGGCACTGGTTTGTGTCCTGACTATTCCACTTCCCATCCAGCTCCCTGCTTGGGGCCTGGGAAAGCAGTGGAGGACGGCCCAAAGCCTTGGGACCCTGCACCCTTCTGGGAGACCCAGAAGAAGCTCCTGGCACCTGGCTTCAGATTGGTTCAGCTCTGGCCACTGAAGCCACTTGGGAGGTAAACTAGTGAATGGAAGATCTTTCTATCTCTCCTTCTCTCTGTGAATCTGTCTTTCCAATAAAAATAAACGTCTTTTTTTTAAAAAAAAAATACATTATCTCATCTAGTTTCCTCTATAACCTTTTGAAATAACTGCAATATTTTCCCCAATTTACAAGCCAATACACAGAGGCTTAAATTGCCTAAATAACTCATACGTTAGCTTCAAACATGTTTATGTTAAAGAATAACCAGTCATGTCTTCCAAGTATCCACTCTGAATTTTAAGTTAGCCTTTTTGGTCCCTGACAAACACCAGCAGTTAAACTTTATTAATTGCTTTTCTGGAAGCTAAGCGTACTTACACTTTCCTTCAACGGCAACATGGCAAAGAAAACTTGACAGCAAAATGAGCAGTGGAGAAATCATCGTGGTTGATTCACACTGATGCTCCTGATGTGGCTTTTCTCTATTAAACAGAGACACACATATAGAAGAGCACTTAAATATTAACCAGCTGGGGGCGTGACTTCATCTCCACAAATACGAGATAAGGTATGATTCGGAAGGTTCTCTGAAACCTGTGTTCCTTAATTATTTACTCTCCTGTGGGTCTGTTGTGAAATCTGTGGTAGTCGACTTCTGTCTTCATGACATTTTTGTCAACAAAAAACAAACAGAAAAAGATTTTATCTTTGTCTCTGACAGAGTCCTGATGGCTTGAACCTTCTTTGGTTTTTTTGCATGTTGTGCATGGAGCTCCAATATGTCGGCATGCCTGTTTCACCTACACCCTTCCAACATAAACTTTGGGCAATGACTTCTTCTCCCTGTCTTAGTCAACATCTCCGTAAGAGGATATGTCAGTATCCAGATGTATGATTCTAAAGAACATCTTTGAGGAGGCACCTGCTACTGTTGTGCACAATAATTGAGCTCAACATCTTAGCTCATAAAATGATGATTTCTGATTCTTCTGATATCTGCACTTAGTAACCCCATCCTTGGACCCTTGGTTCCTTCAGCTATGGCCTGGCCTTGCACTCTCTTGGAATCCTTGATCTTCTCTCATGTCAAATCAGAAAAAAAAAAATTAAAACCTCATCCATTTTCAATAATCTTAGATCTATCAAAATAGACTTCTTGCCTTTTTATTTTAATTAATTTATTTTATTATAAGATACAATTCAATAGGCTCTGGGATTTCCATTCTCTCCCCCACCCCCATATTATTACAACGTACAATCCTTCATAAAGTCATAAGTACATCATTCTGCTATTTTTAAAAAAATTTATTTATTTTTATTGCAAAGTCAGATATACAGAGAACAGGAGAGACAGAGAGGAAGATCTTCCGTCTGTTGATTCAATCCCCAAGTGACCATAATGGTCAGTGCAACGCCAATACAAAGCCAGGAGCCAGGAACAAGGTCTCACACACAGGTACAGGGCTCCAGGCTTTAGGCCACCCTTGTCTGCTTTCCCAGGCCACAAACAGGGAGTTGAATGGGAAGCGGGCCTGCCGGGATTAGAACTGGTGCCCATATGGGATCCCAACATGTGCAAGGCAAGGACTTTAGCCTGCAGGCCACCGCACCAGGCTCCATCATTCTGCTGTTTAAGTGTATCCTGTATGGCCAATGGCAGAGTACAGCATCGTATTGTCGAGATATATTGAACAGTTTCATTGGGAGTCCATCTTTGATTTGGAAGTAGAGATGCACACTGCATTGTATCTTCCCATCTGGAAATGCTAGTCTCTATTACACAGTTACTATACAAGCCTTTTAAATGAAAAGCCGTGAAACAAAATCAGTAAGAACTGAAAGATGGATACTAGATCTAGTGTATAAAACAAAGTTAGAACTCAAAGCAGAAAACAAATGGAGGAAAAAAGAGAACATGAGTCCACTCATGAAGTTGCCCAGAAGGACGGTCCATCATGCCGTTGTTCTCTGATATGTAGCTTGCTCTAGATATGGAAATGCACAGATAGGCAATAGTCAGAGCATATACTAAAGCAGAGCTCTGATCCATGGTCAACGTAGCAAACAGGAAATCAAGTCACAGCCTCTAAGGCAATTGGTCAAACTTAGGACCAATCCGAAAAAAAAAAAAAAAGAAAAAGGAAAACTCAAAAGGTGTCTCACTTCTGCCTCCCTCTTTCCTATATAGACAATTGGAGCATATTTGAATCTCTCTCCTAAAGTGTTCCCAATCCTCAGCCTCACTTTGAGACCCTTTGCAACACACAGATGTGCTAACTCCCTTGTTCAGCGAGTTCTGAGTAGATAGCTCTGCTTGCCCTCCTTCGCTCTCGTTTGGGTGGTCTTGGTTTATATCCACGGGTCTAAAGTTCCTCAAGACACATCTGCTTGAGAAATGCTCGTGTCAGGCAACGGTTGTTATACGACGCTTCTAATGCACATTGTGTTCCATGGTGAGAAGGAATGTGTGCTGCAGCCAACATTAAATAATGGTGGCTCTTTCCCTTTTGTCCTTCTAAGGAAAAGATTCTGGTTTGCCGGGTCACTCCCAGATTCTGCTTTGCTGTGGGAGAATTCCCTCAACTGGTGGAAAAAAGAGAAAACTAATGAAACCAAGAGGGGCCAAGTTGTTCCATGTAGTAAAGATACATAAAGATAGGAAAGGGAGAGAGAAGCCAAACAGTTTGAAAATCAAGAAAAGAAAAATTGGAGAAGAGACAAGAGAAAGCGCGAAGAGAATAGTTCTGGCGTCTGTGAATCCGGTGATTGACATGGCTAGGAGCCACGATGAGCACACAGGCTTTTCATCATGTTTGCTGATGGATATAATCTCTGGCATGGGGGAACTTTCTGGAAGAGTGGAAACATTTTAAATTGTAATTTAGATGGCTTCTGCTTGGGTACATGCAATTATCAGATATCATTGACCAAATCATTTAAGATCTGTGCATTTAATGATACTTCAATGGAAAAGCTTGATTCGTTGGAATATTTGTGATATACTCACCAATAAAGATTAACAACCCTGGGCCCTCATGATATATAAGCATGCTGCATTTTACCAATCATGAACCACAATACATAAGACACAGGTGAGAGAAGACTGGACATTAGTTTTTAAAGAAACTTCAGATTTTCTGTTTGAAGTTGTTCATGACGTTTTATCCTTTCCTACTCTTAATTTCTAAAAACTACAGGTTCCTGGACTCAGAGTCCAAAGTTTCCTATTCTGAAACCGCATTGCATCACATGTTTGAAAACTTCAGTATTTGCTTTTCAAGTAAAGACTTTGACCGATAGCATGAAACATTTAGCAACTAGTTTAGTTTCTTTTTTTTTTTTTAACTTTTTTTTTTCCTGTTTCTGGGTGGTAATTCTAGTGAGAAGCCACCAACAAGGTCAGAGAGGAAAGATGGAGACTCCTTTGCTCCAATGATACAAGTCAATCAGGGATGATAAGTGCATTACAAAGGGTAAGAAATACATCTAGACATGTGTCAGTCTGCACCGAGGCAGCTTCGGGTGGGTACTGGGTTCCTTACACATGTGCAGCTTTTGCCTCTGGAAAAACAACACTGGAATCTCTTATCTTGCTGTGTCTAACTTTATCCAGAATGATTACCCCTAATGTGGGTCGTACATTAGAACCTCTTAAAGAAAGTTTCAGGCCTGGGCTCCCAGACAGAAAACGTGAAACTTGTTTTCTGGAAGTGGAGCTCTTTTCTTTCTTTTCCTGCCTTTTAAAAACATTCTTTATTTTATGACAGATTTTTAATAGGCATTGGGGTTTCCCCTCCCCCCTCCCTACCCCCTTGTTTTCCCCTCCAATCTTTCAATAGGCGTCTTCCAAGTACCCTCTGAAATCCATCATACTGCCATTGAGGTGACTCCCAACAATGTAGGGGCTTATCTGCTGTTTCATTGTGAGATCATCCTTGTAGCAGGAATATCAATGTGAGGCTAGGGTGGCCAACATCTTCCTGTAGAAATTAATGCTAGCGTATGACCCATGTGATTCAAATGGGAGTACAGCAAGGACTAGATCATCGTTACCCATGGGTAGTAGTAATAACAGTGATAAGAGGGATATTAACAATCTTGGGTGAACATATGTAATCTGTCTCTCATGAATTATTGATTCACAGGTTACATCACAATATCTTATTATGTGTAGTACAGACAGCTTGGAAGTGGGATAATATACAATTTACAGGTATTATTTTTAGATTTAACATCCTATTATCTTTTATTAAGGCAAACATATGATATCTGACCTTTTGGGATTAGCTCATTTCCCTTAGCATAATAGTTTCCAGTTGGGCCCATTTGGCCATGAAGAAATGTATTTATTTTTTTAAAATAGCTGAGTACTATTCCATAAAGTAGATGAACCATAGTTTCTTTATCCAGTCTTCTGTTGATGGGCATTTCGGTTGCTTCCATGTGTTTGCGATTATTGATTGTGCTGCTATAAACATAGGGGTGCATGTTGCTTTCTCGTGTAATGGGTCTTTTGGATATATTCCTAGAAGTGGTATTGCTGGGTCATATGGAATGAAGATTTTCAGTTGTCTGAGTGTTCTCCATACCGATTTCCATAGAGGCTACACCAGCCTGCAATTCCACCAGCAGTGGAGTAGGATTCCTTCCTGCTGCTGCCCTCCTCTGCCCCCCTCGCCGGCATCTTCTCCAGCAAGTGTTGGTGGTTTTCTATCTGTGAACCATTCTTACTAGAGTTAGGTGGTAACCTCAGTGATGTTTTAATTTGGATTTCCCTTATTACAAGGGAGCTTCAGCATTTTTTTTTTCATATGCCTGTTAGCCATTTGGATTTGTTCCTTTGTAAAGTGTCTGCACATTTCCCCGTGCCCATTTCTTGACTGGTTGATTGGTTTTGTTGTTTTGATTGTTCTGGAGTTCTTTATATATTCTGGAGATTAACCCCTTGTTTCCTGTGTACTGTGCAAAGCTTTTCATGGACCCGTTTTCTAACATGCCCAGGTAAGCATGACTGCAGCGATTGTACCAGACTCATTCACCCTGCATGTCAATTTTTATTTAAGTCATACTCAAATAACAGGGTTGCACCTATATATTTTCTCTCATGCTAAATTAAGACTTGTTTCTGCCTGTACTTTCTGTATTACACAGTGCCTGATCTCTTGTGAATTACCTGCTGAGTTCCATTAATGTATCCATTCTTTGACAGGTGTTTGCTAAGACCTTGCTGAGGTGCACTTTTCATTTCATTTTCTGCAATAGAAGTCTTGCATGTGAAAATCCCAACTCAGTAACCATATGTGGAATATGGAACAACTGGAACCCATGGCATCCTGTTCTCTGTGATGGATCTACATGATCTGAAAATCAAGGAGGCCTTGGAGAATGATTTAGTATTTTTAAGGGACAAAGGCAACAATGTCTGCCACGAATATGATTTGTTGCTTCCTGCT